TTGGGGAAAAAACTTTTGTTCCAAATCCTTGATGTTCAATCACCAAATTATCCTCATGATTAATATAAAATAAAAATAAAATACTTAAGTTAAGGATAGGAAGCAAGGTTGAATTCATAAAAAAACAAGGTGATCTATTAAGATATGAATTCATTGTGTTGCTTTCTAATAAAAATTCGTGAATATGAAGAGATTATCATATTTCTGAAATTCAATTCTATACAAAAGTATGTAAGCTATACAGAAATCACAAAACATAGAGAGAAAAACATATTCACTTGTCATTATGTTTTCATTTGTGAAAACATTACGAAAACTAATTCTATGTGGAATGACATCATATTCAAGTACTATCTTTAGAATAAAGTAGATGACTTCAAGGGAGTTGACCAGCTTGATCCCAGTTTGAAATCTAACTTAAAGACATTAAACAAAAATGTTATGGATAAGACAACCATGTTTCTTTCCTTTATTTTTCATTTTTTAGTTTTCTTTTGTTTTGGTGTTTTGTGTGGGTTGGTGTTTGTTTGTCATTTTTTGTTTGTCCTTGGTGCAATTGAGGTTCGACCTGGAATCACTGCATTTGGTGGGCAGTTGGAAACTTGTGGTCCAAACTAAAGGGTCATCCCAGAATCAGTGGTCTGACGCCACTAATTTTTGGAAAATTCCACCTTTAATAAATATAAACCAAACAACTTTCGTTGTATACAGTCACCGCCAACAACAAGTGAGAGATTAAAGGGTAAAGATAGTTTTCCCATAAGTAGTACTAAATAATCAAACAAGCTAGGGAAGAGACATTGATGCTAGCTCCTAAATCCACCAATGATTTTTCTGTATGACATGTTCCAATGCAAAGGGGATAGTAAAGCTACATGGATCCTGTTTCTTTTGAGGAAACTTGTTCTGGATGATGGTCGAGCACTCCTCGCTCATAGTGACTACGACGAGGTCTTCGAATTTCCACTTCTTTAAGAGAATCCCTTTGAGAAACTTCTCATACCTCGGCATTTGTGCCATCGCTTCCAAGAAAGGGATTGGGATGTTGAGCTTGTTAAGCATCTCCATAAATTTTACGAACTCTGCCTCCAAACAGTCCTTGTGAATCTTGTGGGGAAAGGAAGTGGAGGCTTATAATCATCCACAAGAGGTGGCGCTAGTGGTGCCTTCTTAGCCTTTTCATCATTTCCTTCCAAAAGTACTTCTTCATCGACCTTTGGAAAGGCTTCTTCTTTTTCTTTAATTATTTACTTTTTCACAACATCTTGAGTTACCTTCTCGCTTCTTAGTGTAATAGTATGTTTATTGTCAAAGTACATTGATAAAGTAGAGCTCCTTATAGTCTCTTAGTTAGCAACGGTTTGTCAAAGTAGAGCTCCTTATAGTCTCTTAGTCAGGATCTCGGCAAGGTTACCAATTTGAGTCTCCAATTTTTGAAGACTTACTTGATGACTTCTTAACCACACCTCAACCGAAGTAAGCTTGTTTATTGCGACTTCCATGAACTTCTCAATCTTCTCCAAATTTTGAGAGCTTGTACTCTCAAAGGTTGTGACTATGTCTTCGTGGTTGGAGACCCCATTGGGTTGTTGTTATTAAAACCCTTGCTCACCTTCTGGTTGGTATTTTTGTTGTTGAAATTTTGAGCATTGGAATTGTGGCCTTTATTGAATGAATGGAGTTCTTGGTTGATAACCTCCGGTTGGTCATTGGAAATCAGGTGGTTTTCGGATTAGTTGGTGACGACCATGAGAAGTTGGGATGATTGTGCCACCCCGGGTTGTATGTATTGTTATAGTGGCTATTGTTCAGAGTAGCTCCCCTAGAATTAGCAATAAAGTTCACTTGTTCTTCTGAAGTGCTGGTCTCCCTCATGATTTGACATTCTTCTACTTCATGGTTGAGACTCGAACACCAATCACAAACTATAATCGAGCTCTTTCCTTGCTTTCGGTCATGCAAGATTACCTAGATCAACTCATCAATATTTGCTTTAAGTGGAGGATTTGCTTCAATGGAATGCACTCCCCTCTATTGAATCTTCCTGCCACACCTCGTCATACCCCAGTCATAGCCCTTTGTGGCCATTTCTTCAATAGTGTAGTCATTTTAGGTGAAGTCTTGTTGAGCATATTCCCTTGGAACGAAGAATCAATGAGTGTCTGGTCTTCTTGGAAGAGACAATTGTAGAAGGTCTCAATTCAGATTGTCTCTCCAAAAGCATGGTTTGGATATCGGAATAGCACTCCTACACATCCCTTAAAGTCTCGTCATCCTCTTGAGCAAAGTGGGTGATCTTCTTCCGATAGTCCATCGTCTTGGAAGGAGAGAAATACTGATTCATGAACTTGGTCAACAAGTCGTCCTAAGATCTGACTGAGAGTGGAGGCCTATTGTTCAACCTACTTCGTGCCTTGTCGCTTAGTGAGTAGGGAAAGAGTCTCAACCTACTATCATCTTGAGGCACTCCGTTAATTTTCAAGCCATCCTTCAACTCAAAGAATCTATTGATATGCGCCGATGAGGACTTGTCTTCAAGCCCATGGTATTCAATGTTGCATCTGGATCATGGTGATTATGCTAGTCTTGATATCAAAGTTATTGGCTGGCTGCCACAAGTGGGTGTAGAATGCTCAATTGGATGTCTGCCACCCATGAAGTCATATAATATCCCATAGTCCTCACTTCATAATCTCCTTGTGCATCCTCGTTCGCCATCACAAGGTCTTCAACTTCATCCTCTTATTCAAACTCAAACTCCTCCTCAACTCCAACTTCTTCCTCAACTTCAACTTTGGGTTGAACGTGAGGTTGACCCGAACTACGAGCTTTTCTCTTGCTTCCTTTAACTCCCTCTCTTGAGCTAGAAGTCGGAGAGAGTGATTGATGTTGTCATCTAGCGGTGCTAAAGGTGTTGGGTTACTTTGTTTCATACACCTCCTGCACAAGGTTTACACAACACAAACGAAAGCCAAAAAAGCAAGATCCAAACTCAAAATGCAATAAAAATAAAATCTAGATTAACAGTAAAAAACATGTTTTGAATAATAAACTGTGTTCCTCCGCAATGACACCAAAAAAACTTGACTCACTACCACTACAACACTATCCCAACGATTGACCAAGTGCAACCTATATTCGAGAGTAGGATAGGATAAGTATTACAATATCAACCCGGGCGGACTATCTATCTGTACTTCAGCCGTTTACACGTTATCTAATGATTACATTGTGGTTAAAACTAATGAAACTAAACAAGAAAGCAAAGTAAACGTTGATGAATTCAAATGAGAAAGGATCACTCATACAATATTCTCCGTAGTTCATGTTGAGATACAATTGTGACACAATAATGCGATAGGTAAATGTTCATATACCATTAGGAGCGGTAAAGTATCTAGGCCCCTCTATTCGAGTGCATCCTATCCCGTTCAATTGATCTAAGTGGAGGGACGTACCTTATACCTACAAAAGACAAGGTGATCAATTTTACTACCTTGAGTTAAACCCCGAACAACACAAGTAACCAATCACTATAAATCATGGCACTCTATGGTAATTGAGGATTGACCCGAATTGCCTAAGGGGATCTTCTTCCTATGTCAATTTGTCTAAAAAATGGGAAGATTTGATAAAGAACACCCAATTTTGAGAAAATACCTCAATCACATATATAAATCACAATACACATTTATAATAGAGTTCATAACCTACAATTTACAGCATATTAAACTAGAATTCCTATCATCCAAGTGACAAGGAGGACTACTCCACAGCTAGAAGAGAAATAGCAACCAAGATAGAGGAAAACCCATAGCAATGTGATTCTCCCCCTTCCTAGATGCTTCAGTTTATCCCTGGAGTAGAAATATGCCCACCAATTGCCTTTAGTATGTCAATTTCACCTCCTTTCCTTCTTTGCTTGAAGCTTTCTCTCTATGCTTGAAGAAGAACCCTTCATTCCCTCTCTAGAACTCCATTCTTCAAATTCACCTTTTCAATAGATCCCTATTTCTCTTATCGCGATCTAAGAACACCCGTGAATTCGGTAGTGACACCGTGATCCAGGCGCAAAATGTGTCGTTTCACTCACAAACTTCACGGGTTGCTTGCTGGCTTCACGATTTGGAGACCGTGACACCTGCAACGCTCGTGAGCCACGCTAATGTTCCTAAAGGTGTGCAAAATTCACAGTTTGCTTTTCCACTCCCGTGATCCTCACACTTTTGTCCACTTTGCTCCCTTTTCACCCTCTTTTGTCTAACTTTTGATCCCGGTGCCAAAATTACCTGATAAGGTCTGAAACATGACACCACAAGAGAAAAACTAGCGTAACATAGCTGCAAGGATGGTGCAAACCAAGACAAATGGTGCAAGACAAGGGTATAAAAGTGTGTAATCTATCTCGAATCAATATTAATTTATAATAAAATTTGTAATTTACATACCTTGAATTCATGCTTATGAATGTGTATGAACTGATCTTATGAATTGAATCAATTTTCTATTTGTTGAATTCATGTATAAGGGTAAATATTGGGTTCGTGCTGAAATGTGGTTCACTAAGTAGGATCCTCCTACTTACTATTTTCCTTCTTGTTTCTTTCTTGCTTCAATGTTATTGAAGTATTCACTTGGTTGAGGACCAACTTCTAAAATGTGGTTAGGTACAATCTTGAATGAAGCTAACAATGGGGTGTTTATTTTTTGCGAGGTAAAGCTCCTCATTTCTAGAAAGTAGGAGAATAAGTGGCAGCCTGGAGAATACTCCACTATTAGGAGCGAGATGGGGGCCGAGGATGATGAGCACACTTATGATGGTGAGTTAGAGTCTGTGTTGGCTGACATCCTAGAGTTTGATCTTGTCTCCTCTAGGAGGCATCCTTTTCGAGCTGTAAAAAAAAATCAACCTCCATTTTCAACATATAATGAGGAAGAAGAAGAATAGGAGGACATCATTCTAATTCGATCAATATACAAATAAATTTTCATCGCACAACCACTTGGTGATCCTCCTGACACGATTCTGGCCACCCAGGACTAGCCACAAGTCTATAATACGGTGAAGTCCAGGGATATAACTTGATGCCCTTGCAACGTGCATGCGACTCATGTTATAGTTATGTCAATGGAAAAATACAAACACATCGAGCAATAAGGTGGTAATCAACATCCATATAATAACAAGGATTAGATTACAAAGTAATTTCCTTAATTTTAAGGTATTTTTTATAAGGATAATTTAGGTTTGCTTTTTATAATTAAGTGCTACTTTAGAAATGTGAATCTAAGACCTCCATGTTTAAAACTAGTATTAATACCACTCGACCAACTACTTGTTCACAATTTTGAGGTTTTTTAAAAAGAATTGGATTTGGCAAAAAATCCCAAATAGAATGACTTGTTATGGTATAAAGGTTAATTAAATTCAAAATATAAAATTGGTAATTTATCAAAAACAATTTGGTAGTAAATTTTTTAGTTTTTGCTAGTAAATGGTATCTAAATTGACAAAATGAAGAACTACACAATGCCACAATGTTCTTACTTATTTTACCTCGTACTAATGATGGAAAATTGTTAATAACAAGAAAACCTAATAATCAACTTGCCAAAAGTCTTTGGGACCATGAATGTCAAGAGATTTTGACGTTGGAAAGAAAATAAGTGTTGATGATAATTGACCCCCAAAGAGAACTCATTCCTTTCACATTTTCACACTATAAATATTCAGTATAGCTAGCTGGTAAAGACACTCTTCAGGCCAATTCTAGAACAAATCTGCCTTTATCTCTTGTAAGGGGAAGAGTGACGGACACGTGACGCTTAACTTTCTCGCAATCAAAAGAAGAAGAGAGCGAGGGACAGTGCTCTGTAAGTTTGTCTTTGCTTTAGTTTGGTGATTAGCGTGATTGATTGACTATTTTGATAAATCTTGATGTTCGGGAAATCCTTGTTTGAAGTTGTTGCTCGTTTGTTAGTTAGATCTCTATAATTCACTTATCAATTTGACAAAAACTAAAAAAGAAGGGAAATCAGTAAACCCTGTGCTGCTAAGAGCAGTGAGAGACTCAATTTTTTGTTTCCTCTCTCTGTTTTTTGAGGTATATATTTTCAAATGCGAAGAAGCAAAATCTAACAAATCTCCTCATCATTTGGCTTTAGAACCTCTCCCTTCCCTCATTTCTCTCAATTCTAAACTGTCAGCTCCTCGTCTCTCTTCTTCATCTATTCTCCTTTTTATGTATCTCTCTCTCTCATCCACAAAATAATCTCTTTACAAGGTAAATTTTCTTCCTTTACTATTTATTTCATTAATCCAATATGCCCATTTTCCATATATTGTTGTTCGGGAAAAAATGTGTCATTTCTCGCAGATTCATAGTTTCGTTCTATGATTTTGCGATGTAGTTTTGGTTTAGTTTTACAGTGGTCGTTTGTTTACAGTATGATCTTGGAGAAAGGAGTAAATTTGTGGTGTTGTGGATTTCCAGATATGTGTTTGATGTGTTGCGTTCATTTAGTAATTATTATAGATCTATTTACTATGATTATTTTGTTTTCTCTTCAAATTTTTGTCAGATGCCTCAAAAATTGTAGTCCTTTCAAACCGAGATATTTTTTCTATGGTGATTTCAGTTATTAAGTCTTCTTATGCTTTCAATTAGCTCTGTGAAAATTTGTGAAAATTGAATTAGTTCTCTTATAATTTGATAATTTTGGGCTTTTGCATTATCAAGTGGATGTTATGGAGTGATATAATCAAATCAATAACAGGTTTTTTAGATTAACAAAGCATTTTGATATATTTATTCTGGTTTCAGGAAACTTTCCTATAATTTATAAACAATGGTGAAGATTTGCTGCATAGGAGCAGGTTACGTTGGCGGTCCAACAATGGCTGTGATCGCACTAAAATGCCCCAAAGTCCAAGTCGTGGTCGTCGACATATCCACTCCTAGAATCACTGCTTGGAACAGCGACCAACTTCCAATTTATGAGCTAGGCCTTGATGATGTGGTCAAACAATGTAAGGGGAAAACCTCTTCTTCAGCACCGATGTAGAGAAACATGTCGCCGAGGCCGACATCGTCTTTGTCTCAGTCAACACCCCGACAAAAACAGAGGGCCTTGGTGCCGGCAAAGCTGCTGATCTCACGTATTGGGAGAGCGCTGCTCGCATGATCGCTGATGTATCCAAATCAGACAAGATCGTGGTGGAGAAATCCACAGTCCCCGTGAAAACAGCGGAAGCAATCGAGAGGATTCTAACCCACAACAACAAAGGAATAAACTTCCAAATTCTCTCCAACCCTGAATTCCTGGCGGAGGGTACTGCAATAAAAGATCTCTTCAATCCTGATCGTGTTCTCATTGGTGGTCGAGAGACTCCGGGTGGACAGAAGGCGATCGCAGCACTGAGAGATGTGTATGCTCAGTGGGTTCCGATTGACAAAATCTTATGCACAAATCTGTGGTCTGCTGAGCTGTCAAACTTGCTGCAAATGCCTTCTTAGCACAAAGGATATCTTCGGTCAATGCTATGTCAGCATTGTGTGAAGCAACTGGTGCTGATGTCACGCAAGTGTCACATGCTGTTGGGAAAGATACGAGAATCGGTCCCAATTTCTTGAATGCGAGTGTCGGGTTTGGTGGGTCATGTTTCCAGAAAGATATCCTTAACTTGGTGTATATTTGCGAGTGCCATGGACTTGCTGAGGTCGCAAACTACTGGAAACAGGTTATCAAGATCAATGACTACCAAAAGACGAGATTCGTGAACAGGATCGTTTCGTCGATGTTCAATACTGTGTCCGGGAAAAAGATTGCAATTTTAGGATTTGCATTTAAGAAGGATACTGGAGATACAAGAGAGACACCAGCAATTGATGTTTGCAAAGGGTTGATCGGTGACAAGGCAAAGATCATCATTTATGATCCTCAGGTTCAGGAGGAGCAGATAACGAGGGATCTGGCATTGAAGAAGTTTGATTGGGATCATCCAATTCATCTCCAGCCAATGAGCCCAACCTCAGTGAAACATGTTGCTTGTGTTTGGGATGCTTATGAGGCCACAAAAGGAGCTCATGGGATTTGTATTTTGACTGAGTGGGACGAGTTTAAGTCGCTTGATTACAAGAGGATCTTCGATGGGATGGAGAAGCCTGCATTCGTGTTTGATGGAAGGAATGTCGTGGATGCTGAGAAGTTGAGGAAGATTGGGTTCATTGTTTATGCTATTGGGAAGCCTTTGGATGCTTGGCTAAAGGATATGCCTGCAGTGGCTTAGAACAAAAAAACAAAAAGAAACACCAAGGGTGGGGGTGAAAAGAAGTTACAAAGGTCAAACCTTTTTTTGTCATTCTTTTAGTGACTTGTTTCTCTTTTGATTTCAATTATGCTTAGTGTTGGGATTAATGTTTCCTTAGTGCTTACATTGTATTGTGGAGGATTTTGAAACATTCTGTTTGTTACCTATTGCGTTGAATAAAATGAGAGGTTCATGTTATAGTTTAGTCTTAATATTTTGTTTCTTTCTAGTTCCATTATTTTGTTTTTCATGCTCCAAAATGTTGGGAATGATATTGAATTAGCTCGCGTCTATTTAGTTCAAGACATCCCACCTTGAAGGACTAAAAGTAATTTCTAACATCATTCACAATCCCCATGCCTTAAAAATGATATTGTATTGCACTGACTACGGTGTCGACTTTAAAATATACAAGTTCTTTTGAATGGTTGTTGGAATGTTGCTTTGCTTTGGAGTGAGTTGAAAGAGAGGAGATTTGATGATGTTAGTTAGAGATTAATGCTAACCAAAAGCAAAAAGGACTAACTAGACAAGCAAAAATAGGCCAAATTGAAGGTTGTGTCTTGGCTTTATCTATATAATAATAGTGATAACTTTCTTTGATTTTCCTTATTTACATGTAAGCACGTGTAATGTGGATGTCCAATATGCAATATGTTTAGCATGAGTAGATGTTAAACAAGCTAAAATTTCATTTTGTTGCTCAAATAGATTTATATTTGGACTTATTGGAGGACTAAAAATAATTAAATTATTGATTGTCTAGTACGGAAGGACTTATGTAGTTGGAATGTTTCTTGTGTTGCTCGATTACTTTGGCTTATATTAATGCAAGGAGGTAGCTTTTGGGGTTGCATGGATCAATCAACATATTCTCAAGAGAAATATTTAAGGGAAGCAAGAGAAAGGCTCGTGGTTGGGGCCAACATCACATTGAACCCGAAGTAGAAGTTGAGGATGAAGTCGAGTTTGAAAAAGTGGTTGAAGTCGAAGATCTTGTGATGGCGAATGAAGCTGCACAAGATGGGGATGTAGCAAGGACTATGGGGTATTATATGACTCCACCGGTGGCAGACATCCAATTAAACATCCTACACCCACATGTGGTAGCTAATAACTTCAAGATCAAGACCGGTCTCATCACCATGATACAAAGCAACATCTAATACCATGGTCTTGAAGACGAGTCACTAAGGGAGCATATCAATCAATTCTTTGAGTTGATGGATGGTTTGACAACTAACGAAGTGCCACAAGGTGCTATTAGGTTGAGAATCTTTCCATACTCCCTAAGTGGCAATGCACAAAGTTGGTTGAACAATAGGCCCCTACCCTAAATAACATATTGGGATGACTTGTTGACCAAGTTCATGAATTGGTATTTCCTTCCTTCCAAAAAGGCAGAGTATCAGAAGAAGATCACCCACTTTGCTCGAAAGGGTGACGAGACCTTAAGAGATGTTTGGAAGTGATACTCCAATCTCTTTGTCCAAGGCCCACACCATGGTTTTGGTGAGAAGTTTTAAAGAAAGAAAACCGATAAGCCAAAATAAGTTAAACAATCGGTCACCATCGAGCAGTTGAGGCTAACAAATCCAGCGGAGAAGGGAGTAGAGGAACTAGTCATGTGGCTCTCGATGAAGAATGGTCAGCCATCTTGCAAAGTCAACTTCCCGTGAAGCAGAAAGATCCACGCAGTTTCACTGTTCCTTTTTTATTGGTGGCATCTACGAAGGGAAGTCATTGACAGACCTTGGGCTAGCATCAATATGATGTCGTATATACTATTCAAGAAGTTACATGTAAATGATAGATCTATCATGCACCCTAAGGGAATATTCGAGGATTTACTTATTAAGGTTGGGACGCTCATTTATCTAGTTGATTTTTTCATCCTTGACATCAACGAAGATGTTCACGTTCCACTTATTTTGGATAGACTGTTTTTGGCCATTGCCAATACCTTTATATATGTGCATGAAGGAAAGTTGATAATGAGGGCGGGGATGAATATATTACGTTCTCTATTGTGGATAGTATGAAACACTCCAGTGCGCATGATGATGTTGATTATTGCGATGTGGTATCGGATTATGCTGTAGAACTCGCCCATGCGGGTGCTCGTTCTAACAATTACTTTGAGAAATGTTTTGTGTTAGGTACGCATGGCTTGGAAGATCTCCAGCTAGAGGATGATCTGTCAAGCATGGAAGAGGTTCAAAAGTCGGCACAAGAACCAAGGGTTGAGACATTACCTCCATCTACCAACATCCCCACTTATTTGGAAGGTCCACCGGAGTTGGATTTAAATTTACTCCCTATCCACCTTGAGTATGCTTTCTTGAGAGAATGATTCAAACTTTATGTCATCATTAGCTCTGATATCACTCCAGAACATAATGCAAAGTTAGTGGATCTCTTGGGGAAACATGAGAAGGCAATCGCATGGAAGATCACTAACATTCGGGGAATCAACCCTTCTTTTTGCTCTCACAATATCCTCATGGAGGATAATTTCAAACCGGTCCAACAACCTCAATGTCGGATGAACCCTAACCTGGAGGAAGTGGTGAAAGCATAAGTGATCAAGTTGCTAGATGTTGGGATCATTTATCCTATCTCAGATAGTAAGTGGGTAAGCCCTACACAATTGGTACCCAAGATGGGATGTATGATAGTTGTGGAAAATGAGAAGAATGGTTTTAATCCAAATAGAACCATGAAATGATGTCGGGTGTGCATTGTTTACCGAAAGTTGAATGATGCCACTAGAAAGGGTCACTTCCCTTTATCTTTTATCAATAAGATTCTTGAAAGGCTAGATGGTTACGCCTTCTATTGTTTTGTGGATGGAATGTTGGGTTACTTTCAAATCCCTATTTCCCCATAAGATAAGTCAAACCCAACCTTCAAATGTCCTTTTGGCACCTTTGCATATCGGCGCATTCCATTTGAACTGTGCAATGGCCCGACCACATTCGAGAGTTACATGGTGGTGATTTTTGAAAAACTGGTGGGGGAGATCATGTAAGTCTTCATGGATGACTTCTCAATTTTTGGGGACTCTTATTCCCAATGCCTTGGCAACCTTGGGAAGGTTTTAACAAGGTGTGAAGAAACAAACTCGGCTCTTAGCTGGGAGAAGGCTCATTTTATGGTTTGATAAGGAATCCTCTTTGGTCACAAGATATCAAAGAGAAGTATTGAAGTCGACAAGGAAAATTTGGATACCATCAGCAGACTTCCACCTCCAACTTTCGTCAAGGGGATTCTAGGCTTCCTTGGGCAAGCACAGTTTTATAGAAAATTCATTGAAAACTTCTCAAAGATTGCATTGCCATTAACAAAACTTTTCGAGAAGGATGCACCATTTGTCTTCACAAAGGAATCCTCCACGATATTTGACATCTTGAAAGCAAAGCTCACAAATGCCCCAATTATGGTATCACAGGATTGGAACCTCCCATTTGCATTGATGTGAGATGCAAGTGACTATGTAGTGGCAGTCGTGTTCGGGCAACAGAAAGGCAAGTAATTTCAACATATATGCTACGATTCCAAGACTTAGTGATAACAACTAAAATAGGCGTTATCTAGCCTCTATTCTCAAGATATTTGCATGCTAAATCACTGTGTCTAGTCCACATATCGAGTTATTTATGCCCATTTTCGTTCTTATTTTCAAAACATGCATTTGGCATAGGTATTCTTGATATGAAGGTTTTCATAGGGGAACTGATTCGGGCCTAATTGTACACTTTTTATCCCTGTTTCTCTTTGGTGTTTGTGGCATTAGAGCTCCTAAAAGGGTGGTTTTACACTAGGTATCTTGTGTTTCAGAGTCTAACAAGTGTACCACAAACCATGAACCGCAGAGAGCCCAGAGGACTTTCAAAGGTTACTGACGCCGAGGCAGTTCACGATCGTAAGACCGTGTTCGCGGTCCTGGCCAGATGATCACTGCTGTGAATTGGGATCGTTAACTAGGAGCGATCTGTGTATAAATTGAAATCTGAAAGGAAGAAGAAGGTGGAGCCCAAAAGGGAGAGAAACCTTCTTCATCTTCTCGAAACCCTAGAGAGAGAAATCACAAACCAAGAGAGAGAATAGGCTAGGGTTTGCTCCAAGTGAATATTTTAGAAGTTCCTCTTCAAGAGAGGATCTCTACAAGCACAAGGAGAGTTGGAGGCATAACAATGATGGTTTCTTTCTTCTTCCTCTGTGTTCTTCCTTTGTCTAGAATGGAGTAGTTTCCCTTTTCTCTTGGGTGTTGTAGAATCCTAACTTTTAGCATGTAACTGATTGTGTGGATTGAATGGTTGTGTGATGGTGGTGTTTAATTTAAGAATTGATGTATTTTTCATGGTGATTGTGCATTGTGTGTGCTTGGAAATCTATTGTGCTATTCTAACCTTGCTTAGAGAGAAGCCCCCTTATCTTAAGAGGCTCAAATTGAGCTGGGTTTTCTTAGGCATTCCATGCCTCCTAACTAGGTTAATGAAAGGCAAACCTCTAACTTGAATTAGAAACCTAGGTTAATTATGATTATGACGTCCAAACCTTGGTATGAGGGAGAAGGTAAGTCAACCCTCAATTGCTTTGGCCAAGAGGGCTACAATTGTAGCCTATAATGCTTTCCTTGTCCTAGCAATTGAGAGGATGGTTTCTAACCATTGTTGCACCTCCTACGAGTCATAATTGCCTTGTCTCACCCTGGTTCATTCGATCCTACAGTTCATGGTAGTTAGTTAGGGGGAAGCAACTCCGAGTGAAGCTTCTCACCCACAGTTTTCCACCCTTTTTCTTTTCAAGTCTTGCTTTTAAATAATAGATTGTAAAGATTTTAACAAACAACATTTCCGCTAGATAATGTTTCAAACAATTGAAGTAGGGGTACGTGGTCTGGCCTGGGTTGATATTTAAACATACTTTCCCTATATTGCACCCATCTAAGGTTTATACTAGGGCCTTAGGTGGGATTTTATTGTGATATTCGAAGTGAGTCAAGTTTTTGGCGCCGTTGGTGGGGAACTTCTATTTGTTATCAAGAAAAGATTGTTTGGTGTTGATATAGCTTTTATTTTCAATTTTGCTAAGTGTGGTTGTTGCTTGTGCTAGACGTGTTTGTGTTCTTTTAAGTGTGTGTAGGGAGGTGTATGACCTGGAGCAATCCGAAGCCTTTAAGACCACTAGAC